CACTTTGCTTTATTATTAATTATTACTTAATTCATATTGTTACGGATTTCATAGTTATTTATTTAGTTAGTTTTTTTTTATTTAGAATTGTAATTAGATTTGCTTCATGTTGCCTTAGCAAAGCAGACGATTTTTGAAAAGACAGCTGCGTTGGAAGGTTAAAAATAGAACAGCGCGTGCATTTAATACCTAATAAATAAATATCTCGTAATTGATGTTGCCATCCACAAAAATCCAGATATTTATAGATGTTTCCAGTGTATTCGACAAATTAATTATAAAGCTTATAAAAGCCGAGAACAAACAACTCATCTCAGTAGTAGCTGTAGTTCTAGCGAACTGTTTGTTTACTTAATGCTGTTCGCATATGAAATTATTTCCATGTTTGGTAGCACTTATCGGTGCGAGCAGTTATTTTCAGTCATGAAAGGTAATAAGTCTCCTATTAGAAACCGTATTAATGATGCTCACCTTGGTTCAGCGTTGAAAGTTATCACTGCAAACAAAATTTCTCCCGAAATAGGAGAGATAATAGCAGAGAAGAGATGTCAAGTATCAGGACGTAAACATTAAATTTTTCTTGTTCTTTTCTATATAAATATATATATATATATGTTTATTATTGTATTATTCGGAATAAATCTACGTTTCTATGAATATTGATATTTTTTTTTTGCGGCCCGCCTAAAGTTAAACCTTGTTTGTTTGGCTCAAGTGTACCTATGAGTTTGACATCCCTGGTGTAAGTCATTGTCCATTGCGTGGATTATTTTTGAATATGATGCCCCCTCTGCACAACACATTCATCTAGGCGGCGGTGGAAGCTTTCCATAACTCGGCGTAACGTATTCCTTGGGACATTGCCGACGGCAGTTCGGATGTGATCCTTCAACTCAGAAATGGTGGCACAACGTGTTCGGAAAACTTCTTGCTTCAGGTTCCGCCAAAGTCGGCACATGAAAGATAAAGTGAGCGAGGCGGCCAGGAAATGTCACCAAAATGGGAAATCCCTCTACCTGGAAACGTTTGTCGCAATGGTCCGTCCATCTGGAACTTTCCCATAACGTCCCAAATTGAAATGTTGCCGAAATAGACGCTGGGTAGCAATAACAAAGTCGTTATTCTTGAAATAACTTTCAACAGTAAAGGCACGACTGTGCACTCCAACGATCCATATCACTGTCACACTCGAAATGGCAGCTCATTAGTACACGAATGAGGCACGAGCTGGCGCACATTCATGCAGTACGTCATTGTGCTACGCAAGTCAAATTACGCTATGAACGCTGCCGCACCTTGTAGCAGCATTAAATGATTTGAGGGCTAGGGATTAGCAGCGGACAACTATAAGAATCGAGAGGGGATAAGCAGTGGACAATTATAAGATCCGGGAAGGGATTAGCAGTGGACAACTATGAGATCCGAGAGTGGATTAGCAGTAGACAACTATAAGATCCTTCTCAGTATCTGGGATCTCACTCAGTGAGATCCGAGATACTGAGAAGTAAGTATAAATGAAGATATCTTATTAGACAGTGTGATATGTATTCTTATTCGAATATAGGTTTCTTTTAACTAAACAATATCATGGTATTTACCGGTAATTTGTTTCTCACTTACCGTAATTAAAAAAAAAAAAAAAAAAAAAGGAAAAGAACTAAATGAAATGAGAAAGAGTAATATGTAAAAGTAAATTAATAGTAACACGACATAAACTGAAGGTAAAAGAAAAATAAGTATTTTGAAAAGTATTTTTCCTATCAAACAAAGCTGTATCTTATTTTGGTTTATGATAAAGTTTTCTTAACCAGTTGGAGAACTAGTTTTCTGCATGAGGTGTCGCATGTATTTCATGAAGGTTTTCTTATCCAAATATTTAAGTTTCCTTACGAATGTTGTTCTCCCCAAAGAAAACCAGATATCAATATCTAGAATCACGAGCTTTACTAAAAGCAAAATAGAATGAATTATCAACAAAATTTTCTCACAAAGTTCTGGAAGTTATACTCATTCGGACTCTGATACGCCCCAGGCGAATTAAAGCGCTGTAGACAGCATGTAACTTTTCAACGATATGCAAAGCGTCTTTTTGGTTGCTAAATGGTCAAGAAATTTCGTGGAAAGTTCCAATGTTATTGTCAGCATACACAGGCTTTACTGGTCTAAGAATCTTACATGAAAGAAATATGTGAACTTCTTTATCCATACACTGTTAAAAAATTTTAGAAGACATAAGGAAAGATGTTATAAATGGAACTTTTAACGTAGAATGGATTTTATCAAATTTTGAATTGACATTTCCAAGAATTAACTTTAGCGGATGCAACATTTCATGACAGAGAGAAATTGATATTTTGCTAGGACTTAAGGTATTCTTTACTTTGAGCAATAGAGAAGTGATAAAAAGGAACAAATATTTTCCATTTGCATTTTGTTCTAAGTTAGGATGGGTGACTGCTGGAACGATACATTTTGAATTCTCAAACCGTGAGTAAGTTTCAATCAATACGCTAAACGTAAACATTGACGAATTAGTTAAATTATTTTGGGATGTGGAACAAATTCTCACATCGAAACCGTTAATTAATGAAAGAAGACTGTGTGAAAACCATTTCGTAGAAAATCACGTCCGTAGTGAAAATGGTCGTTACTCAGTATAATTGCCATTCAAGCTTTAAAAAAATGTATTAGTTAATTCCAGACCATCAGCCTTTCGCAACGTTCTTAGACTGGAACAAAAACTAATAAAAGCTCCTAAAGTACGAGTATATCAACAATATAAAAACGCCATGTCTGAATAATTATCACTTGGACACACGGAAGAAATATCTGATGATAATCTACATAAAGTCAATGAGCATTTTTACATACTTCATCATCACGTGCTAAAGTAATCGAGTCTTACCACTAAACTACAAGTCGTTTTCAATTACTAGTGCCAAAACTACATCAGGTATATCGCTTAATGACACACTTATGAATGGTCCTACGGCACAAGATGACTTATTTACTATTCTTTTGAGCTTTAGATGTTATCCCACAGCCATCAGTAGTGACTTATTGAAAATGTATCAACAAGTTCAAATTCATGATGAAGATCGTGATTAGCAAAATATATTGTGGAGAAATGATCCATCGAAGGCGATTAAAACCTGCAGGTTGTGAATAGTTGCGCACGGCACTACATCAGTAAAGAATATGAATTATATCAATAATAAACGATCAGCAGTGGGAATTCTACTTAGTATGTGCGCATATGAATGTGCATTTGTACCTATAACTGGGACATAGGGCAACATAATCATAGAGCTTTTTGCGGTTAGGTAGAGAGACTGCTCTCCACAAAAAAGTTCAAAAATTTGAAGACGAGTAGGGGCAGCGTTCACCGTCTTTTCGAACAATGAAGAAATTTAGCAAGCACAATTCCGTCTAAGCAACCATGCTTCAGTCTTCCAAGCCGATTCCTTAGCACTCAAAGAAGCAGCACTATGGTTAGGTACGCAACCAGCAGCTCACACTTCATTCTTCACAGATAGCATGAGCGTTCTAAATGCGCTGAATTCCTTTCCTCCAAAACATCCGCACACGGCAGCACTTCAAGAGATCCTCTTGACGTTAGGATCTTCCATACCTTTAAAGATCAACTGGATAAAAGGACATACCGGGCAGAAAGGCAACGAACGAGCGGGTGAACTAGCTAAGACTGCAGCTCTCAAACCAGAAATTGACAAGGAAGTTCCGCTTTCCACAGAAGTTTCAAAAAGGCTCCTCGAGACAATATTTCAAGAGACATGGTCATCATGATGGCAAGAAGATTTACTTACAACATCTTCCCAATACCTTCTCTCAAGAGGCTCAAATGCAACCGACTCTTCCTCCAAGCCTGTACCAATCTCGGGAAATTCCCAGCGTATTACAGACGATTCCTCAAACGGGACGTCAACTGTTCTTGCGGTTTTCGTGTGGAACGCACTTCATTAGCTGCTCTCTGACAGAGCACCTTCGACAGCAGTTCTTTTCTTCCGACTACATCACCTATCCTGTGAATAGACTGTTCACGGACTATTACTGCAACAAGGGCAACTTAGAGATAATGAAGCAAGTGAATGAAAATAATTATATCCAAGAACTACAGATTAATGTAAAATGTAGAAAGGCGGCCTAACCGTCAGATTGCTAACAATGACTAGAATGACTTCCTAAACCTGTAGTGCTATTAATTTAGTTTGGCGGAACAGGTTAAAGTGACCATATCTCCATAAACAAAAAGTGTTAAAAAATGCTAACGTATTCCTGGAAATTTTTCCTGATTGTACACTTCAATCACACCTTCGTCTAAATTTCTGGTATAAAGGAAGAACAAACAGATTTAATTTTTCATTATGAACAAGGACAGGACCAAAAATTATCTTTGCTTTTATTAGAAATGCCAATACCAGACCCATCAACTGCAAATGCTGTTTAGATTAGACATTTATGCAAATGAAATTTGAAATGTTGTTTATATCAGTAAAGATTGTGACATATCAATAATAACTGATCAGCAGTGGTAATTCTACTTAGTATGTGCACATATGTATAAGTGCATTTGTACCTATAACTGGGACAGCTTGATTAAGTCATGGTACTAGTGCATTTGTACCTATAACTGGGACAGCTTGATTAAGTCATGGGGCTAGTGCATTTGTACCTATAACTGGGACAGCTTGATTAAGTCATGGGGCTTTTTGCGGTTAGGTGCTCCCCACAAACAAACAGCAAGCAAACTCTTTCACAATACAACAAAAATAAACTTCTAAGTAACTTTCAAGAAAATATAAAAAGCACGCAAATTATAGCATGCTTTGAAACAACAATAATTTAAAATGAGATAAATATTATTTTAAAAATTAGCACACACAAACAAAAGCCCACTGATATTTATCAAAACAAAATGACAAAACGGTTAGAGCAATAACATAAAAGTTATTTACAAGGAAGACATAGTTAAACACAATAAATACATATTAAAAAGCATTTATTACACTCATTTGAAATATTTACATTATTAAGATGATCACAATATTTTAAACACTTTTTATCATCACTCACATATAAAGGCAGAACAGTACAAAAGATAAATTCTTTGACAGATTGAAACATTTTGAATTCAAATTATTTTAGTAAATATTCTGATAGACTTAACAATGTAATGATTATCATATGGTTACTACAATTAATTAATCCCATCAATTTCACACATTTTTATATTTGCAAATTATTCAACAGATTTAAAGAATATTTGCTAGAAATATTACAAAATTTAAATTTCTGATATCTGAAACTACAATTCATTGAATACACAAGAAAAAATGCTTCATTGCTAGCTTATAAGCATAAATCATTTTAACAAAAATGGAATGATTAAAAAAAATGTTAAGAGAAGCTGCCAAATGTCTGGATGCTGAAATAAAATCAAAGGCAATGAAAGTTATAACATAAATAAATAAAAATTGCATATGAATCTCAGCATTCATGATTTAAACATATCCTTCATTTGCATGTCGGATGGAAGGCATAATTTCATCAGTGGACTGTAGTGGCGTGGTAAGCAAAAAGTTGGCACTAATCAGAAGTGGAAATTTCATTTCTGTCTGAAAATTCAATACTGTCACTTGCTGCAGGGGAGGAAAAAGAATTACCAATTAGATTTAAAAAACAAAAGGTAATTTTTACAGACTGATTTTGTTCAATATTTAAGCCATGAAATATAATATAACACTGACAAAAATGTACGAAAATTCAAAATATATCAGTTTGAAATTGCTATGTGTAAAGCAAGGAAATTATCAATTTATTTAAAACATTTACATCGAATGCATGATTTTTAAATGATACTCTCTGTATTTTGCAATATTCACTGTAGGTATATTCCTTTCAGCTAAAAATTAGATTTACAGCTTTATCACATGTAGTATTATGTCTCAGTTCTTTTGGTACATTTCTGTGTTGGGGGGGGACTGGATCCCGAAATGCATATATGTACTGTATTGCATGCATGTATGTATGCACGTGTGTGTGCATACACACACATACATAAGTATGTATGTACATGTGTACAGAGAAGCATATATACTTTTTGAATCTAGTACCAATAATATAAAAGTAAAAACCATTTTACAATAAATTTTTGGCTAATACAATTGAACCCCACTATAATAAACTTCAAGGGATTGAAAGTTTGGTTTGCTATATCAGATTTAAATGAACAAATAAATTATCTCACAAAAATGTATAAAGATTACACGATGAATAAAGTATATAACTTGTCATGTCTACCAAAAGAAATGAGTAACGAATCTAATTTTAAAATATGCAGATTTAATTGCAATAACTATTAGGTAGAATTATTAAATTTGTTCTTTGTTTCTCTCCAAAGTGTCTGGCAAATTTATTTGCTTCTATCTGAAGAATTTGTTCAGATACTAGCAGATTATAGCTCCTCTGAATGGCAAACCATTTCAGATGTCCTTCTTCAGCATCTGTATTCCCTACTTTTCTCAACTTTTTCCCTCGTATCCAAATTTTTTCTTGTTTCTTTCCTATAATGTTCATCTTATCTTCAATGCAGAAGCTTTACACTAACAGCTTGTCCTATGGACAAACTTCTGACACAGAAACAGAGTACACAGAGTTTGGTCAAAGAATATGTGAAAGTTTTGCACTTCTGTTAAATATGAAAAAGGGTGATAATTTCGTCACCTGCATGTCCTAGCCAAAGTCCACTAAGAACCCAACTGCTTCCTCAAAGACATGTATGGTTATGACATAAGGATTTAATATTCTTCATAATGAATATCTTATGTTTTGCAAAAGACTAAAGAATGTAAAACCCCTATCTGGAGAATAGAATTTGGAGAGCACTTATATTCAAACAAAACAAACCTGTAAGGATAAAAACTTTTCATTTCCATTAAAAAACATCAACTGAAAAACTGCAAGCGTATAAGATTGACTGTTTCCTGTTGTGCACTAAAGAGAGAAACTTCAAAATTTTCATCTCAGCATCAGCCTTGAATATAGCTCTGGCTGGCAGCTCAAACAAAGAATTTGAATAAAATCTAAGAACACGCTCACTTTTTGGTTCAATGGTCACATACACCATATAGTGTCTTAACATATACTTATAGTATCTTCATTCACATAGAGTTGAATGATATATCTATCTCGCAGCAGGCTTTGCTTAGAATACAGAGAAAAGTGAAGATAAAGGGGGGGGGAACATCAGGTGTTTGTTTTCCTTTATGCATGGAATGAGGAATATGGATCCTAATATCCTAAAAGTAATTGAAACTTGTTAGTAATTTTTTCATTAAAACTTGGAAATTCTGGAAAAATATTAACACAGCCACCAAAGGCATCAGATATTTCAAATTTCTTGAAGCTCTTCACTATGAAGTTTGCTATTTATAGTTCTGGCCTTGGAAACTGCACGATTCCAATCAAAAGTTTGATATTTTTAACCATTAACTTCTTCAGAATATTTTGCCATTTTAGCGTAATTTGTGTTGTTTACAGTAAATTACAAAATTCATCTCGGGCAAAAAATGGAATTGATGCCTGAACATTTTCGTGAGATTATTTTTCATACCCTTTGACGCGGATTATAAACACAAGAGTGCTTTGACAAACTTAATTTTTTATACAGTGATAAAGCCTCCTCCTACAGCACTGTAAAAAACTAGTACAGTCAAAAGTCGTTAATTCGGACACCCATAATCCGGACCCCAAAGCTACAAACTTTCTGCACATGCGGCGCGCATTGACGCATGCGCATAAGACTTTTACGGCTGCAAATATGTGTGTGCGCATGCGTATAATACGTTTACGAATGCGTGTTTAATGTATAACGGGCGGTATAAGCTAAGCTAAAATTATCTAACTCAGTTAATGTTGCAGATTGCGTTGTTCCTTAATCTTCGTGTTGGATCTGAGTTATTATTTTTTGCAGACTTTTAGAGCAATTTTATAAAAGTAAGCTTGAACTTTCGATTATGTCAAATAGAATTTCTGATATATTTTACTAATATGTAAAGGATCTACAAAGCGAAAGCATGTTTCGAAATCCATTAAACAGAAAGTGGAATTGCTGCAAAAAATGGATAAAGGCATATCCTTTGATTATCTAATCATTCCGAAATATGTTTATCAATTTCACGCTGCTCTGCGGGGGGAGGGAAACGATGCGACATGCAATGAATTGGAAGTTGATCTGTCAGCACTATCCTTATCTTCAGGACAGATGCTTTTATTTTATTTGGCTTATAATTCTTTACTAAATGTAGTATTTCATCTCGATGTACTCCATCTTTGATATGATTTAAATCAAGTTCCTCGTCATTATGATTCGCTTCTGATAGTAAAGAAAGTGACACAGAGGTTATTGAAAACGAAAAAATTTCGATTGACGAATTAGTCGGTATTCTCGATACAGCAATTATAGAACTTGAACAGCGGAACTTTGTAACTAAACAAGAAATTATGTCTGTTTAATAGAATTAAAGAGAAAGTATTATCACATGAAATGAAGCAACTTAAAAAAACTTACATTGAAAGACATGTTAATAAAGTAAACAAATAAATATTAAGCTTTTTCTTTTTGTAAATTTTGATACCCTTTAGATAATAATTGTTTTTTATTTCATAAATTACGGTTTCATATTTTTAATTTTATAATTTCTGCATGCCATCCTACCAAATTTAAACTGATGATCTATAATGTGGAATCGCCGAAGTCAAGACGAGTCCGGATTAACGACTTTTGACTGTATAATGAATTTGGCCATGATTGACGTTCGCTCCAGGATGAATTCCACGAAGGTCGTCTAAAATCAGTTGTTGTGCCAGAAAATTTCGATGCTATGCGCAAACTCATAAAGCAAGATCGTCATGTACATACGATGAGATTGCGGCATCTTTGGTTGTTAGTTTGACAAGCATAAATAAGATATTACACTAATATCTGGCCATAAAAAGGATTTGTTAACATTGTATTCAACATAATCTGACAAATGCTCAAAAGAAAGCTTGTGTCGATTGGTGCAAGGACATAATGGAAAAATATGTTCAAGGTGTGTCAAAGGCTGTGTACATCTACACAAATGAGGAATCATAGCTCTATGCATATGAGTCCAAAACAAAACAACAGTCGACTGTATGGGAGACGAGCCAAATGCAACAAAAGTTGTTTGTGGAAGAAGCGCATCAAAGCAAAAGGTTGCGTTTTTCTTTGATATTACTGATTACATGACAATAGTGGCCTTAGAGCAATGCAAGAGGGTCAATTACAAATGATACATGACAATTTCTTTCCAGAAGTCATCGAAGAAATTAAAAAAAAAAAAGCAGAAGAGGCGAATCATTCTTCATCATGACAATTCGAGCTCTCACAGAGTGGCTCAAACAAAGAAATTTTTGATGGGCCAATAGGTAATATGCTGTACAGCCCTGATTTGGTACCAAATGACGTTTTTTATTCACCCACCTCAAAAATAAATTACAGCAATTTGTGACACCAGAACATGCAGTTGATGCATTAAGTTACCTCAATCGGAGGAGAAAATGTGCTTTGAAAATTGATTCAAACACATGCAAAAGTGTATTGATCTTTATGGAGAATATTTTGAAAAACAATAAAAGCAATTTCAATCATAAAAATTTGTTTTTTCATTATTAGGCCATAAATATAAATATATACTTTCATCAATCAAAACCCATGCATTTAAAATTCCTGAACAGATCAATTTAATGGCAAGTTGCTAAATTTTTCTAGTTCTAGTAAAATTGAGCAACCCTGCTGAAAGTCACTTGCTAAGAACTCTCAAAGATAATCTCTGAATGTTTTATTTGCTGCTGTGTGTTTTCATTGCCATGATTAGACAATTCTGCCACAATGGCATAAATTTCACTAGTTAGAACATTTAAACTAAATCTATTTACCAGCTTCTGTGATGTAGCAAGGCCTGGTTACCTCACAATGATGCTAGCTTATGTAAGTTGTATCTTGCAAAGCCCTCAAAAGCAGATTCTTATTACTTTTAATATGTTACCAATGTTATAGACTGTTACTTTATAATAGGCATTTTGGAGGACATTTCTTCCTTCCAAACCATGATTCATAGCCACGGTAATAACTGTTGAAGGGAAAAGATCAAATCCTGTAATTCCCTATTAGCAATAACGATAACACAAATGATGACGGTAAATGAAGGAAGGATTACTATCACCTTGAAGTACCTATTTTAAAGTTACAGACTATAGAGAGTGCAAAGGAGAAGGTTCTGCAAGACATTATTACGTAATTTGAGGGGGTTAATCTTTGTTAGTAAGATGAAAAAAAAAAAAAAAAAGTAGGTAGACAAATTTCAGCTTGCTTCTGAAAGAGATAAAATTAAATGAATATTTTAAAAATTTTCAGAATGGCTAGAAGGCAAATTACATGAATAAATACATTATAAACATATGCTTCTGATATAATTTTGGTGTACTTTCATTATTTCCATTTCATACTTTCTTTTTTAAATCTTATTCTTTTAAATGATTACACTTTTTTAATCATTTAAAAACTTGTTACTTGCATTCTGGCACTGTAGAGTGGACTCAGTGGTTCTCTCATTAATTTTTAGTCTTTTAATTTACCAAAAACATTTTAAAGATTCTAATTTTTTTCATGAATGAACTGGGGAAATTGAAAATACAGTTTTGGGAATTACTTTTAGATCAAACATATGCGTGATTTCAAACAATGAAAAACTCCAGAGTCCCCCTCCCCCTCGTGTGATGCTTGTTTCGGCATTCACACTTCGGCAATATATATATATATTTTTTTTAATATTCCATTTTGTCTTGTACCGTAAAAATAGTTGAAAAAGGTTTGGGTAAGGAAAACTTGCATTATTAAACACTTCCTTTTAGCTCAAATAAGCAATTTCATTCTATACACAGATGCATACACATAGAAAGATTTTGCTTCTAATATTTCTTCATTAATTGAGAAGTTAAATTGTGCTCCAAAAGTTCATAAAGAATTCTAGCTCTTTCACAATGTGGTGTTTTGTTTTTGTTACATTTTAAAAACTATAACAGGCATGGGGTTTTGCTAAGAAACCCTAAATTTCTCAAAACTGCCATGAGAAAGAGATATTTTTTCTCAAGTTTAATGGCAAAATGCCCATGGTACTTTATACCTCGATTTATGTACTTGTATTACATTGCTTTATTTTCTTGGCTATATTTCCAAAAATGGGCAAAATTAATATTTTTTTAGCATTTTCCATAGAAGCTGCAGAGAATACATAATAGTCTATACTACTGTACTATGCAGCAACTTTATTGGTATAAACAGGAATTACATGTTCATCCCCTGTATCTTCTCCCAATCTTCAAAATTCCTTTTTGCATAAACTAAACTTCAGTATACGTATTTGTTTGTTTTTAATCTTTAAAAATTTTTGGACCATCCTGTGTATTAATAAAAATCAAATTTAATGAAAACATTAAGCAAATTAAAATGTTAAATCAATTAAACGTGAAATACATTTCTTACCTCATTTTCTGTTAAAGACACAGTCTTTATTGATGTTTCATTTTTACTGATAATTTTTCCATCCTTATTCAAAGAGAACACACCAAAGCGATACATCAAATGCCGTTTTTCTGACCTTAATGACAGACTATCATACGGATTTTGCCCAAGACGCACTTCATTTTCAGTCTTAAGGTATCGCCGCAGCTTAAAAGTCCTGTGAAATTAAATACGCATTATTATAACAATGGAAAAAAAAAAAAACCTGAAAGGTTTCAGATTTTAAATTATGACCAAAGGGGCGGTTTTTAAACGTTTTGTGTGTTACCTTTATTTATTAAATATCATGTTCTTTGCACTTAAACCATAAAATTCAGTTCAACAGCAATGTCGCAAAATAATTTTTAAATGAGCCTATCTTTAGAATTTCCGATACACAGTTCCGCGCGCTGAGATACGAGTAAAAAGGTTTCCCCTTCCCCGTAGAATGTTGCCATTGCTTGCTTTGAAATCCTTGAGCTTGTTAATCAAAAATTCGTTAAAGTTTTACAAAATATGAAATCGATCATAAAACAAATTCCAAATTTCAAATTTGGTCTTTTATAAGCCCATATTTGTAGGAGGATTATATCATTCAAAATTCAATGTCTCTATGTACCGTTGTTTTGTCACAATGCGAGAAATTACATACATTTATGCAGATTTTTTATTATTTAATTTCTTTAAATATAATGCAGAACTCTAACATTTGGTGGCAACAGTTTGAAAAGTGAAATGGGGCATTTATAGTGATTCAACGCAAAATTGCAAAATGAAAAGAATAGTCCTTCAGAGACAAAGCCCATTTGGACTAGTAAATACTTGTTAATATTATACATCTATAATTAAGAATGTACACATAAAAATATTATTCACATTTGAACTAAAAAGTCATTTCTGAGTTATTTCTATCTCCTAAATTTTAAGAAAGAAGAAACTTCTGATTATCACGCATAATTTTTCAAAATAATTATTTCAACATTACAATGATTACCTCCCAAAAAAACTGCAAATATAAATTTGGCACACACTGTTTGAACTTACAAAACACTTTTCATTCAATTATAGATATTGTAAAAATATTGCAGGTTTTTTCCATTTAAATACAAATTTATATATAAAAAAGACGGCAAGTTCACATTGAATAAGTCTTGTTTAGAAGTATTCTAATTATCAGGTTTTTTAGATTTTTTCTGATGAAATTATATTTGGAAACTTTATTGGTACATGATTTGCATCTATAAATTGTAATTCAAAATTTAATATCTGATTTTTAGATCACTTCTTAATACCACACATGAATTTGGTCTCTATAGAAACAAATTTGCAATAATAATAAAATAAAATAATAATAATAAAAAAAAAAGCTTTTAAGTCATTGAGTTTGTTAATCAAAAATTTGTTAAAGTTTTACAAAATAGAAAATCGATAATAAAATAAATTCCAAATTTCAAATTTGGTCTTCCACATGCCCATATTCGTAGGAGGATTACGTCATTCAAAATTCGATGGCTCTATGTAACGTTGTTTTATCACAATGTGAGAAATAAACATACATTTATGCAGATTTTTCATTATTTAATTTCTTTAAATATAACATAAGGCGATAATACTTTACGGCAACAGTTTGAAAAGTGATTCGCCATTTATAGTGAATTGACGCAAAATCGCAAAATGAAAACAATAGTCCTTCAGGGACAAATCCCTTTGGACTAAAAATGAAACAGATTTATTTAATAATGAAAAATACTTACTTATACATATGTATGATACATAAATTAACATAAAAGTTGATAAATAATATACCTGTAGATATTCAGTTGACTAAACAAGCTCCTTTTTTAGATATTAATGTCACATATGCTGATAGCATGTCTTATTTTAACAGACAAGATTTTCTACACATCATGAAAACAATTACACCTCAGGTGTCAGTAAGATATACTTTTACACTCTAAGCATCTATATTTCAGTCCTAAATGGCAATTATATTAAAATACCAAGAACTCATACTATTACATTATTCTTATCAAATTTTTAAATATCACAGACTTCACAAATGTTTAATAAGAATATTTTAATCGTATCAATATATACTGAACCCAATATTTAATAATTATTAATATGAGAATATACATGAAATTTCAAGAATATTAACCAGTATCTTTATATATAAATCCAAAATTTTGCATAAAGTGCATAGTTTAACGTGAGCACATACCATGCTAAATAACTTTTTATAATATACAAGTATATACTATATATGCATATACAGTGAGAGAAATATCTGTAATCTTTATTACAAAGCAAATTTTAAAAATGGGGAGGGGATATTACGATATACTAAAAATATATTGCAAAAGTATGCAAATGATGCTGTTATTACATATATTTATTCTATAAATATGTCATTATTATGTTATGTCAGTTTATAGAAAAATTCTTTTACACTGCAGCTTACAGCATTAAATATCACCATTAGAATTGACATCATCTAATGATTATAAACCTTGGCAACTATTTGGTGAAATAAAAGAACTACCAAATAGTTTTAGCTGAGAATTCTACTCACTACTCAATGAATTTTAAGTAATGGTTATATAGCGCAGATTTAATTTTAGCAAATATATAGAAATATTTAGATTTAGCTTTAGCAAATAAATACTTTAATTTTCATTTTTGTTTTCAATGGGAAAAAAATGTCATTTAATGTTGCTCTTTTTTACCTCTTTCAAAAACCTACTCCAGATTGTTTGTAACTGCGAACAATTGAGATGGCTAAAAAAAGCTCATCAAATAAACTAAGAAGAAACTATAGGGTGAAACTATAGGGTGCAGTGAAGAAACTGTAGGGTATTTTCTTCCTCCTTACCATGTGCCTTGGTAATGTAACTGTACAGCATGTACAGCTGGCAATCTGGAGGTCCAGTTTCAAATCCTGGTGTGGGCATTGCAAACTTCTTCTCTTTCCTGACTTTGAAATACTTAAAAAAACTCTACAAGGGGCACCCAAACTAAAAAAAAAAAAAAAAAAAAAAAAAAAGGGGGTGAACACTAACTCATTGTCACCAGGATTTGGTGACTGAGTCCCCTCCTTCCCAGTCGCTCTTTAAAAAGGAAAGTGTATAACATATTTTCTAACTCCTTACTGCATGCCTTCATGGTGTAACTGCATAGCATATACGGCTGGCAATAAGGAAGTCTTGTGTTTGAGTCTCATCAAAGACATTGCAAATTTTTTAAATTTCTTGATATATCGGAAAATTCTGGAAAAAATCACTACAAAACAAAACAAGAACGATTATAATATAAAATCAAAAAATTCCAGGAGAGCTTTTGTAGCATTTGACAGTAGAAAATTCAGGTGAAGTGATCAAGGAAATAGATCAAGAAATTTACGCAACCTGTATATGTTTTATCATATAAATCACAAAGATGGAATTTCAAAAGAATTCAAAATTTCATAAGAATTTTAATGAAACAAGTTGTTGCTTTCATTGAAATAAAATGTCTCACACCAAGTAAAAAACTTGGGGAGGGGGATTCCAGGAAATATACAAATATGTAACAATTTTTTTAAAATTTAACATAAGAAAAGTTAAAATACTAACAACACAATATTCTTAAGCATTAATAAAATGCTCTTTTACTTAAAATTTAATAACACAGCAAATCTAATCTAAAAACAATGCATCTCAAAATGAACTGCTATAGTATATACTGAATGAAAATTTTACCACCTGCTTCAAGCTGTCCAAGTGCAGTGTCAAAAATAGAAGAAATTTTTAGCAACATTTACCACTGTCCAAAAAAAGGTTATACTCAAGTTATAATAGTAAAACTTGTAAAATCTTACAATAAATAAAGGGAGTCAATTTCTGGACTGATTCACTTGGCACTTAAGTGGTTAAGGAACATACAATGAATAAATACTTCATTTACAGCACTGCTAGTTGTGAATTATGTATTCAGGTATATTTGTGAAATTACCCCAAAAAAGGTTTTCAATTAAAGAATTAGATTTTTCTGAATTCCCCCAAAAATCTTCTTACTTTGGTTAAGAGCTTAAATTGTTATCAATATTTTTCTTGTTTGCAAACAGTTAAGAGCTTAAACTGTTATCAATATTTTTCTTGTTTGAAAACAAACTAATTTTTGTTTTGAAGTTCTATTTCTGCTTCCTTTCTCATCACAAAGAGTCTTATGGAAATTTCATGAGTTCAAACTTCTTAGGTACTATGGAGTTAGAACTCATGGATCAGTGGTTCATTCATCTGTTAGCAGTCACAGAAGATATGACAGGAACCTTTAAGAGCACTTGTGCAGATCTGAATATCATATACCAATTTCTGCTGCTCCATGCAACTCAGATTGCTGTAAGTTTTTTTTTAATTACTATATGTTTCATTAGAAGTTGCTGTCTGGTATTTAATTCTATCTGTAGCAATTTACGTTATTATAATACCAGAGAAAACTAATTTAAAATGGGAGCAATATAATGAAAAGTTCAACAAAAAAAATTTGAGAGATATGAATTTGTGTCAATAACCTAAACAAAATTAAATAATAAAGATAATTGTAGAAAGCCTTACCCTCTTGCATAAAATATGACTATGTCAAAACCAAAGTTGAAGCCTGTCCACCTCCAGCTATGCTAAATTTAAAAGAAAATGAACAGAAGAAACTCATGATCATATCATCAAGCATACACAAAGTTCGACTTGAACATAAATTTATCTAATAATTTTTATTTAAGTAATAGTTATTGAAATCAAAATGCTAACAACTGTATAAAGTCAAAAATTCCATTTCATATATAAAAGGAAGCACCCGGTTCTCCTGTTTCCTTTCTACATAGAACACTGTTTGAATGAAAGTATTAGATCATCTGGAAAGGTCTGCTATTTTTCAAATCAAAGTGCTTTTCCTTCTGAAATTATTTTGTTACTGCTAATAAGGACCTCGATTGAAACAGATGTTTAGATACGTTTTTCCAGTTCAAATTGAATACTTCTAACATAATTGCGCTATAATTTTTGTTTCAGTGCAGTGCTAAGAATGGAGAATCCAACAGCTCATTTTCATCATGCTATACTCTTTTAGTTTAAAAAAAAAAGAAAAAATTACTAGTCAGACTGCTCATAAAATTTGTGCTGTTTCTGAAGACACAGTTCCGCAAATTACTCCTTTGGAAATTAGGATCTACTAAAAATCTCTGAAAATCCCCATTATAAATTTCAGGAACTATAACACACAAACAAAATATTTTAAACAGCACAGTATATTATCAAGTGAAGAAGATTGGGTATATAAGCCACTATAATATATGAGTAGGCTTACCATATGTCTGGTATTAGTGCAGACAGCATGGTTACTGGTCACATTATAACATTTTACTCAGTCATATGAAACACAACAGAGGCAATGTGTTTATGATGTTTTCGTGTGTGAAGTAGCTTGTCTACAAGTATTTGATCATTTTATTGCTATTCATTTCTTTGCTTCATAGTTTAGCAATGGGGAAAAGAATATGTGTGTCCTAAGCTAACCTGCAAGAGGAATACAAATTTTTGAAAATGTGTAATAACAGTAACAATGAATGTGTTTATTGCACACTCTATATTGGAGAATTTTCTCTTGCACATGAGGGAAACGATGATATTGAAGATCACATGTAAACAGCTAACAAAAGAAGTGTTATTAAGTCTACTGCTTCAGAAAACATGAGAGTTTTATTTATTTATTTTTTTTTAAAACCAAAGATCAGAAGAACAATAACCTGGAGTGTGCTGCTAAATAAGCTACACTTTCATACTGCACTGCTAGACACAAAGTCAGTTTCAAAACATCAGAAAGCAAATATAAACTGGTTAAAAAGGTTTAGATTTCAAAATTTTCATCTGCTAGAACCAAAACCGAGGCAAATTATTGTCAACCTTATCCCACCATTTATACTATTTGATAATGTGCTGCATACTTTGGAAAACATTAATTATGTAACAGTAAAATGATGGATATCTCAAATAGAAGTGAAGCAAAACTTGCTCTGACTGTTGTATGATATTTCAGTCTGAAGGAGAGAATTCAAGTTAAAGTTTTAAATTTCAATGAAGTGTCACATGAAACTGCCCAAATTTTTTCTTTTGCAGTGCAAAACATGAAGTTGAAGAAAAAGAAACTATTAGACTAATGATAACACTAACAGTAATTTTCATGTTGTGAAGAGAAAGGGGGAATGAAAATGTGGTCAGAAAAGTTCAGAGTGATTTAGATACACCTATTTTAAGGATTGACTGTTATACAAAATTCAGTACAAACAGCATGTCATTCTGTACACCTGGACCTAGAAGTTATTGTTATAAAAATTTAGAAATGTTTCACATATATACAGTAAGACAAACAAAACATAAAGAGTCAAGTGAATTTGTGGAAACAGATTACAAAAGAATATTATCTCATAGCAGCACAAGGTTCCCTGCTTTGTTACTTGCAGTAAAAAGAAGTCTTTCCAGTTTTGATGGCCTGAAAAAACATTTCATATTTTGCGATATAACTATAATTGCCAAAATTATTATTTGATTTTTTTTTAATTTAGAAAGTGAATTAATTTTAAAATTTTTATTTGGTACTCTACATTTATTTTAATAATTTAGAAGCTAATTCAATCGCAGTAACATTTTACGCATATACTGAATTAATTTTTCAACTTTGTCAGGAAAAAAAAGTCCACAAATTTATACCATCTTCTGCCAGAATTGTTATGCAGTTTAAAGAAAATGATGATGTTAAGGAATTAGGGAAAAAAAAATTTTTTTTAAACATAGAAATTTAAATCTAGTATCCAGTACTTAAGAGTTGTTGAGAACCAGTATTGATAAAGTTATTAAATTTCAGTGGATAAATTTCCAAAATGAAATTGCTTGGTCTGATTTAGAACAAAATGCACAAGTTGTTAATGAAATTATAAAACATTCCACGAATATTAATGACCAATTTATGAACATACATTGTTGAAACGGTTAATTCAAAACCAAAGGATAGGTTGTGGTTCAGATTCTGAAACAGTACTAGATACTATTGAAGAGAAGCAGAAAGCAATTTTTAAAGTGTTTCAAAAGACTGATAGGGTAGTCTATATTTTGGAGTACCCCTTGGATTATCACCAAACTGCTGTTTCATTTATTGCCAAGTTGTTGTTTCATTTATAGTAGCCTGAGTATTTCATGGTTATGTTTTGGAAACCCTATCATGGCATGTCTGATTGCAATGCATGATGGCGGTGATTTTGATTGTTGGAAGAACATTTCTGGGGGTTTATTTCTACGTTGGATGTCGGTTAGGAAGTACATTGCTTATTTTGTCCTTTACATCATAAAATGGCTGCCGATGGTGAACTGATTGTTTGGTGGTACAGAACGAGGAAGCAGAAAGTGTTCAAAAGAAGTGGTTGAGACATCAAAAGAAGTCTCAACCACTTCTTTTGAAGACTTCAAAAGACTTGAAGAACTTCAAAAGAAGTCTCCACTTCAAAAGAAGTGGTTGAGAACAGAAGAAAAGAAACTTTGTTGGACGTAATTCAATGGAATAACCTTACCTGGAACAACAATCATATCCAATTGCTGGAGGTTGTAAATTGTCTTTCTGATAATGGTTTCATTCACCTCTCAGTAAATCACGCAGTGACATTTAAAGATCCGGAAGCTGGAACTCATATCAACACCATCATAGGTATGTGGGGTGTAACAAATATAGATTTTAGAAAGAAATGCCACTGACAGTCTGGCATGACAGAGGATAGTTTTGATTCTTACTTTTGCGAATTTATGTGGTGACAGAAGTATGCAGATTCTAGTTCAGATAATTTTAAACAGTTTTGGATGCTGTTACGGAATTCTCTGTGCCACACACCAAAGACAAAGAAATTTCTAAATAAGATAAGTCGACATTTCCCTTTTGTACTGTGCAGATTAGATAACATGTATTTCCGTTTTTATGTTACTTCCTTGTTTTATTATGATTTAAAATGCAGTTTATTGAGATTGTTATTTTTGTATGTTTTAATTATGTTTTACTGCATTATGTTTTGGACCCCATTTTAGTTGGGAAGGCATAGCACATGTGTTGAAATTATTTCTTTTTCCCTCCGATGGATTCATTTTTTCTTTTATTTTTTATCGTCTGTCGCCGACTAGGTCACGTGACTGGCGGCAGAGAAGGAATGTAATACTCTTTTTAGTTAAGCTTGAGGGCGACGCCTTGAAATGATCTGTTCTTGGCCGCATAGCGGTAATTGTTCTTGATAAACGAATATTGGCCCTATGATGGGAAAATTTATAATATATGTATGATTGTGCTTTCAATAATGTAAATAATGTACATAAGCTCTTCATTAAATTTTTTGTTTTTATAAAAAAAAAAAAAAAAAAAAAAAAAAAAAAAAATAGAATCGTGAATTCGTGAGCATAAACGTGACAATTTTTATACACATGTTTTTGGTGCCGAAATTCCCGGACCTTTAGATACTTTAAAATCGAAACTGAATATAGTTGAATATAGTTCTATGCTGGAATAATGGAAGGATACCTGAAAATATCAGGTAAGCCATTTTCTTTCATTCTTGAAGTATTCAACCTTGAAAAATAATGATTGAGTTGAATAAAAGTATTGAATATTTATGTTGTTTTATTGAAATATTACTTGAAAGAATAATACTTCATTGATGCTTAAAAAAATAATTTATCTTAATCGAAGGAAATTTGTGGACTATAAATATATTGTTTTTAAAGGAAGTGCTTAAAATATTGAAATACTGTACTTTAATTTTGTTACAATTATTTGTTGAATTTTATAAGGTTATATTCCATTACTTGAAATATGGAAAATATAGACAAATTAAAGTCGAAAAGAGCTGCTATCAGATCTGCAATCACTAAACAAATAAATAAAGCAGAAGATTTGCTGGTAGCAGCGATTGAAAGAACTGACACAGATTCCTTGTTAGAGTGTCAGGATATTTTGTCAGAAAAAGAAAATTCTTTAAATGAAATTGATAAAGAGATAGATAAATTGATTGAAGATAAAGCTGAATATGAAAAAGAATTAAAATCGGTTGAAGAATACTCTCATAAAATTTTGAGTATGAAATCCAAAATTAAGAATAGGTTAAGAAAATGTAAAGCAGATACCGAAGTTAACGTAGTTCAAAATGTACCTGTAACTCCTGTAATCGAAAGTAAATTTGTTGCGGCAGTTAAGTTGCCGAAATTAAATATTGAAAAATTCTCTGGTGATCCCAGCACTTATTTAGAATTTATTAACTGTTTCAAGAATGCTGTGGATAACAATGACTCTTTGTCAAAAATAAGTAAATTTCAATACCTGAAATCTCTTTTGACAGGTACTGCATATAATGTTGTATCAGGGTTTGATCTCACTGATGAAAATTATGATGAATGCCTAAAATTGTTAAACGAAAGATATGGTAGGCGTGATACAATCATAAACTGTCATATAAATAAAATTTTGAACTTAGAGCCAGTAAAATCATCAAATAATATAAGGGGACTTAGAAATCTGTATGATAAATGTGAAATACATATCAGAAATCTCAAGTCAATGGGGGTAACAACAGGTTCATACGGGCATCTACTTTTG